AAAAGGAGTAGGAGGGAGAAAAGAGGGGGAGGAAAGGGAGAAAGGGGAGAAGGAGAAGAAAAGGAAGAAAAAACCTATACCATCAGTTGTGGCATCAGCTTTCTGCCCCTGTAACCAAATGAGTGCGATCATCAACTTAAAAGGGAATAGTTTTATTTTGGCCCACGCTTTGTAGGTGTCAGCTCACCGTCAGTTGGCGCTGTTGCTTGGGGGCGCTTGGTTCCAGGCAGCACAGCACGGTGGGCAACCAGGGACCACAGGGGGGCTGGAGAGGAAGGGCCAGCACCCTCGCAGGGCACAGCCTGGGACCCACTTCCTTTCCAGGCGCCCTTTCTGCAGCCTCCCGTCCGCATGCCCTCCCCAGCCTCTGGCACTAAGGGTTTTCATGGCCGGGCCACAGCGCTGTCTGAATTCCTTATTATGTTTGTGTCTTTCTTCCCAAGCCATAATGAAAGCTCCATGAGGGCAGACATTTTTTTTTTTTTTTTAGGGCAGACATTTTTAATGTTTTGTTTAACTGTTACAGCCGTAGCACTTGCAGTAGTACCTGGAGTACAGTCAGCAACCAGAAGTCATAACATACTATTTTTTAAATCCTAGCTGAACCTGCAGCTTCCCCACAAGGTATCTCCCTTTCCCTCCGTCTCTGTCTCTTTCTGGCATTCCTGCAGCAGGTGGCACCCTTTGCAGAAGTGTATCTTCCACCTGATAGCTGACCTGGGGCATGCACTTATCCTTTTGATCATTTCTTCCAAGCTGCTTTGCAGATGCACTCAATAAATTAACAGTTTGTCATAACTAACATATTTTGTCTAGGTTCCTTCCCCATTCCTTTAACAAAATGCATCCACTGTTTATTTATTTTATTTTAATTTTTTTTTTTTTTGGCAGAAGCGGGGATTGAATTCAGGCCCTTGCGCTTGCCAGGAAAGTGCTTATTCCACAGAGCCATCTCCCCAGCCCCACATGACTGTTTATGATGTATCAGCCACATAATTAGCTGTGGATGAGAGTGAGAATCTATCTGGTTCCTGACCTTGGGACTCTCATGGCAAAGGGAAAGACAATAAACAGACCAAGTAAACAAAGTGCTAGGAATAAATCTCAGACAGGGTCTGATGAGACATTTTAGTTATCTTTTTTTTTTTTTCCAGAACTGGGGATTGAACTCAGGTCCTTGCGCTTGCCAGGGAAGCGCTTATTCCACTAAGCCATCTCCCCAGCCCCAGTTACCTTTGTTTTTAGTGCTGGGTCAAAGCCAGGGGCCTCATGGGTGCAAGGCAAGCACACTGCCTGTAAGCTACATCCCTAACCCTGGATCTTGGTAACTTTTGTTAGTCATTTCCTAAGTTTTATTTAAAGAAAAGTCTTTTGTGGTTTAATCCTTCAGTGTTAAATAGGTAGTCTAATAACATTTAATTTTTTTTTTCTTTTTTATTTTAGGGAACGGTCTACAGGGTGTTCAGGGTCTCACTACTAGATCAGACTTGTAGTGATCTGCCTGTTTACAGGCTCCCAAGACCTGGGATTACAGGCGTGCGCCACCATGCTGAGTCTCAATTGCCATTTCAGCGCACCCCGGGGACAGGGTCAACATGGCAGGCCCTGGGGATTAAACCCCTGACCCCTGGACCTGCTTGCAGGCACTTTAATCTGCTGGACTATTTGGCTGGCCCTTAAATTTTTTTTTCAACTTGGAGAATTTTAACAACCTTTTTCCTATATTCATATAATTATATGACACATAATGTATTATTCTCTTTGGATTTTTAGAATATATTACATTATAGCTATAAAAGTTACTTTTTCTGCAAGTGACCAGTGCATAAAGGGAACAGTGAGTCTCTTTAATTTATAGAAGATGATAAAATATCTCAGAGTCCCTAATTAAATTACATTGGCCAGCCGGGTGTGGAGTGCACCTGTGATCCCAGCACTCTGGAGGCTGAGGCAGGAGGATTGTTGTGAGTTCAGACCAGCCTAGGCTACAGAGTGAGCTGAAGGACAGCCTGAACTGCATAGTGAGACCCTGTCTCAAAAAGATAGAAAAAAAATTACATTGGCTCCATTACAGATCTGTTCATAAAGATTTGACAAGTACTGTTACTTTGTTATAGGTTAATGGAGGAACGGAGAGAAAAAATAAATAATTTCCTGAGTGAACTAATGAAAGAGAAACTTGATAATGAAGATTTAGTTATTGCTAAAGATATTGCAGAAGCTGAAGCTGAGTGGGAGAAAAAAGAAAAAGAAAAATATGAAAAAACCAAGGCAGATTTAAAAGCGATTGCAGAACATAGAGCCATTATGGTAAGCAGTGAAATGATGACAGATACAAATAAGCTGAATTTAAGACTCCCACTGTGCTTAGTACCCCTCTCTGTCTCTTAGATCCAGAATTAGCAAGTGCAAAAAAAAAAAAGAAAAGAAAAAGTATGAATTATCTTCCTGTAATCCTGAAATGAGACACAATGTTTACTTTCTAACAGATGATGTGACAATTGATTACAAAGGAGATATTTATAAATGTAAATACTCCTGTTTCAGAACGATCTTAATAGACAAATAATATTCTTTT